AGTCCACTCTTTTTTTTATATTTATAAGAACCGTGTAAGCCGCCATTTTACATAACATCTCGTGTAATTATTGTTCAGACAATGTTTTGACAGGTACCCTTGGCTCATGCGATGTCCATTCAAGGGTATGTTAATCGATTGATTTGGACCAATGGTTCATTTCACAACGACAGCGTAGTCTGTAACATATAATAAGCCACTTCTATTATAATTAATAACAAATTTTCATTATTCTCTGTTGACTGTTAATTGTTATTGATATTCATTTTATCACAATACTATACTACATATTATATACATAACGACATACCTCAATCCCTTCGCATCGATCATTTTTAACCCATTAACTCTTTATACCTACGACCTCCCCTAAATGGATACTGTAAATATTATTGCTATATTTATGAAATATATACATTGTCATAGAATATAATCAATGTACGAATAAGTATTCTTTAGGCCGCTTTATGAATTTAGATAGTTTTGTTTAAAAGTATTGTTAGAAAATCTGGAGAGGACGTAAAAATGCTATAATCAAAATAGATAATATTGCAGTAAAATCAATTTTAATAAAACAAAAATGGTAATTAATTAAAAAACGTATACCTATCTAAAATGTTTATCACGTTAACACAATTAATAAATAAAGTTACCGATACATCAACTAACTATAAAATAAATTCAATATTTTACTTACAACAATTATTAAAGACTTAAAGTTAACTGGAGTTAACTATTGCAGCTGTCACGCAATTACACGATTACACGAACACTAAATCTACACGAATCTAAGTTGAAATTTGAACGCTATCACAAGGTTATTTCGACGATAACTGTTAAGATATTATTATTTACTATAGAATACTTACCAATAAAAAAAATATGAGATAGGTATACAATATGATAAGTACTATAATATATTTTCGTGAGTATTAACTATATTGATAATGAGAGACCAAATAATTATAATCTCACATTCATTGCGAAAATAAATTAACTATAATGCCATAGTTGAATTGAATACTACTATTTATAAGAGAACCAAATTCACTAATTATTAATTAGTTGTTAGTTGTAACTAGCCTGACCAAAAAATTACTATTTTCCTTGTATCGAACATTTTTAAGTCTTCCAATTTTTCTGTACAAAGTTAATGTTTTTGACACGAAAGCAAAATATCTAACCTATTTATTAAAAACAAGAAATAATGTAATTTAATATCAAGTTGTGGTAAATTATATGTCACTTTTATAAGATCTCACATAACATATTTAATGAATAGTAATAATTATAAAAAAAATAAAACACGAAGAAATTTAATAAATAATTTTGCTTGAGTAACCTAACCTAACTTATACCTACTCTGCATTTTCGATAAACAATATTACACTTATACCATAGGTATGTGAAATAGAAACCTATAAATTATAGTAATTATAACATTGATGAGCTTGTATAGAGTCAAACTATATAATATATTATGGGCACGCTTGAAGACGATCTCTATAGTAGAAGACAAATAATTTCTCAATAATAATCATTCACAAAGTGTAGAGCTCGTATACATTATATAAGTATAATTAATTATGTGCTTTTATAATATTATATTAGCCAGTAGGTATATATCTATGTGAGAGCTGTTCAAAATTATAAATACCTACCTGTATTGAGCTGAAGGGAGTGCCGATAGCTAACCCAGTATCAGTATTACATCATGAGGGGGAGTTCACAACCCCATCTCCCAGAAATGTATTTCTACAAAATGCCCCTTTCCTCAGCTGGCTCTAGCATCATATATTCATATGTAATTTCAAGAAATTTATCTATTAATCAGCACAACTTCTTCCGAAAATAAATCCTGTGTGTGCTACTGTCCTGCAGCAGTATATATATATGTAACGCCCTGCGTGGTACATCATAAGCATAACTCATAAGACGTGCCCACCTATACGCGGTATACCTATGTATTTTATGGTATATAGATACATTTTTACCTACCTCCCCAGCGTGGAATCGATATTGTGTTTGACGAAATCGCGACAACAATCGACCGTGTATACCATATAATGTTATATAATTGTCGGATATTGTATATACGGATAATATTATTATGTACCCACTTGTTTATCGCGTCGGTGCCGTAGACACTCGACACCAGCTGCAGGGCCGTCCAAAACGATTGTGTATAGGTACAGCGAAAGGATTGACCGATACCGTGAGTTGGGAATCGTTGTATTATTCTATTATATACAACAAAATATAATAATGAATGGTAACTGCGCGGGGGCGTTCTGCGGCAGAGTTTGCGACGTGGCGAAACCGGCACACCTGTTCGTTAAAATCCCCGCCGCCACCGTTCGTTATAATAATACGGTCATATCAATGCGATTGCTGCCGCTTTCTATATAATAGCGTTACAATTCCAAAGCTGTTAAACGTCGTTATATTATATTATATTAGGTACGGATACATTATATTACCTATAATATATAGGTTTATACCGAAATCTTCCTCCTGCTCGTCGTCATCATCTCATCCGCCCCCTAAGCGACGGCGATTCACCGCTCGTTGTGTTGTTCGGTCGGACATGAAAGGCAGTTACACAAATGCGGTCGAGTTGTTTGAAGTGTGTGTTCCGACGACACGATATTATAAACGGTCAAACACCGTGCCGCCGTCATCGAAATCATTATCACATTATAGGTTTTATTGCCTGTATTTATAGGTATAGTTCAGATTTCATAAGCAGTATAGACGCATCTGGCATCTATATGTCCTATAGGCTATTATTTCTGAATAATATGGTAACATAATTATTTAGAAATAATACTATTAAGTTTTACTTTAAAATAATTTTTCATTCAATTAAAATATATACTCGTATATAATATAATAATATAATATATAATAATACGATATTAAAATTAATAAATCACCCTTTATAAAGTTCATAATGCATAAATATTATAAAACGATGGTATGAAAAAACTTATAATAGAAACATTTTGTAAGTTCTATGTCAGTATGTCCCGATAAAGACTAAATTTAAATGTTTGTTGTTTTTCATCGACACAATTTTAAGCTTTCTGCAATATATTCGGTCATCTAAAAATTCTTGTTAAAATATGTATGTACACATGTACGTCGTACGGTGCACATAAAAGGACATACTACTGTTTTGAGTTGATATCTACTTTATTTAGTAGGTACCACTGGTACCAGTATGTTGCCTAGTATATGCTGCAGTTGTGTTCAAATTGTATGTCAGAGCCAATACCTAAATATAAAAATTAAAAACTAGAAAACAATTTTGAAATAATATATTATTGAATCAAGGTACAGACTATCACATTAATTTTCATACACATATATCTACCCTACACACGCTTGAGAAACCGTTTCCAAAAAATATAAGCAACCAAATATTAATATAAAATTTGACCGCGAATGACTGCAGACCGACCGGTGAACGTTATTTTCGATTAAAAATAAAATATCATCCCTGCGTAATATACAAACGAAAAGGGCCGCATATTATATATTTACCTAGTCGAACCTAGAAGTTAACGCCTTACCCGTCGGCCAAGTGTATATACAGGTACATATTCATCTATATTATACTATATATTATTATGTGCTATATAGATCATATTGTCCATCATTTATAATATTATTATGATAATATGAACATACATCGCGTGTAATCAACGTCAACCTAATGGATGTGCGTCGAGTATCGTGTTTTATGATTATTATTATTATGATTTTGTTGTTTTTTTTTTGTTTGTTTTTGTCACGGACGTTATATTATTATTATATTAATAAACGACGAGTACCGCAGAGGGTTGCTGCCCGGACAGCGGAGGGTCGGACGGCCGGACGTCCGGACACCGTGGAGCAAAAAAATATATATAAAAGCCACTCTGTCGGCCGCTGCGAGGGCCGTCACCGCGAACGGTCAAGCGTTTTCCCCGGGGCGGGCGGACCGCGTACAACGTGTAAACCGCAGCGTAATGATCTGTTTGACCCTCTCGTCCGCGGGGACCGATTACACGATGTTTCCGGCGACGGCGGTACCGTTGCTGCTATTTAATCGCCGTGTAAACGTAGTCCACTACTTGAGCAACAGCATAATAATATCATAATACATTTAGATATAGTATGTATAATATATTAATACATACACAACATAGCACTATATATTATTATAGGAGGTATAGGTCACGGTGCTCAAGTGGGAAGTGGCATGATATAGGTACTTGTATAGTGAATAAATCTAATTTTCCTAGTCTATATTATATTTTCTATTCCTATTCTGTAAACATATTTATATACCTTTATACTTACGAATTTCGATAAACTAATTCTCTATGCTGTGCTGGATAGATACTATATTATAGTCAATAGTCTATAACTGCAGGTCCTTAGTTAGGTACCAACTTTCCGATATAGGTAGTTGATGTCATCTCTGGAAGATAATATGAAATAATCTATTATCACGCTGCAGTATTGACTATTCAGTACTACTGATATAGGTACCTACTTGTTGATTCAAATGACATATTATCACAATATATAGAATTACATATAAATCATTCTGTATAAGGTTCTAGCAAAACACATCATAATTTGTGAGTACTGAGTTGTGACCAATCTACAGCAGACTAACATAATATATTAAGTATAGATATTTATATGTACGCTCTATTATAACTATACATAAGTTATAAGTACCCAATTAACCTGACCAACCTACCAACCATAGTATTTTATTACATACTCGTGAGTGTTGATACCATTTTGACTATTGTCCACTTATTAATATACTGCAACAATTCAATATAGGTACCTAAATCATATTTTTTATTATATGTTGCCATGCCCCAACTGCGATCAAACTGCACACTCCCTTGTGTAAACGTTCCACTTTAGTACTATAATATGATGTTTTATACACACCACACATAACTCTTATACCATATGATTTTCTTTGATTTCAGTTGGTAACACTGCTGATTACGATGGTAGGATTATTGCAACGCGTGAATTAGACTTGGGTACGAAAATTAATAATTAACACACTCATTACAATATAATAATATACATAGTATACAATATAATATATGATAGGCACAGAATAAAAATTGTACAGAAGTGACGATCGATTTACTGTTAAGACTTTAATATAGATAAGCTCCTAAACTAGCACAGCTTTCAGTTTTTATTTCAAACATATATAATATTTTTATCATATACCATGTGTCCGCAAAAACAGGGTAAGTACACTATATAATTTAATTACCCATATTACTCAGTACCCTATACATATTTTTGAATTGTGTTGTGTGTACACGAAACTAAACTATTGGATCATCAATCTCCTGCATACAGAGTTCTAAAATATGTATAGGATAGGTACTGAGTTATAAACTCAATAATTGAGTATGTACCCGCAGTTTTCGAGGACACACGGTATATATATAAATAATTTAAATGTCACTTCTGCTATACTTTTTACCCTGGTTAATACTATTATATATTATATTTTTAAGTAAACGTTACAGTGTTGCCAACTGTTTACCTCTGGTAGAGCTGAGCGTACAACTGTTGTTCTAATTGCAATGTCCTATTTACACAGTTTTGTTTTCATTTCTTGTATAGGACACAGTGGTGTTAATCAGCTTGGCGGAGTGTTCGTTGGTGGCAGACCGTTACCAGACTCGACAAGACAGAAGATCGTCGAACTAGCCCATTCCGGAGCCAGACCCTGTGACATATCGAGAATCCTACAGGTATCCAATGGATGTGTGTCAAAATCTAGGAAGGCAAGTATTTTAAAATTGGATCCATATTGTCTATACTATATTGGAAAAAAACATAGACCATAGTGTAGGGACACTTTAAAATACAAAACGATAGATATATATAGAGGCACATAGTTATGTGGTTCATTATGTGTCACATTTCAACATTAAATGTCTCTTAAAACATAGATCCTAAAAGTCCAGATACAATTATATAAAACCCAATTATATGTACTATTTGACCTAATAGTATGTCCTTCATTATATAATCTATTTAGCACTGATTTTAAATAATATTAATACAATAGTAAAATGTAACCTATATTTATGAATGAGCTATTTTTCATAATTTGGCTGACAGTAAATTGATATAGATATATATGAATCGCCTATAAAAATGTCAAGTTAAGATTCTATAACTGTTTGAAAAATAACTACACTATACACCTCGAATTATGATGATAATATGTCAATTATTTTATGATTGAATATAACATAATATTAATTATTAACTATTGTTTGTAATTTATATATCACCCGATATAAAAAACTTTATTATATTTTTCTACTGCAGGTATTACGAGACCGGTTCTATCAGGCCCAGAGCGATTGGTGGTTCAAAGCCCAGGGTAGCAACAGCTGAAGTAGTGTCTAAGATATCTCAATACAAACGCGAATGTCCGTGATATTTGCTTGGGAAATTCGAGATCGATTGCTACAAGAAGGCGTGTGTTCCAACGACAACATACCTAGCGTGAGTAAATTTTTCAAAATCGGACAAATTTACATCGAAATAATTACGCTGAAACATATTATATTTAACCCGCGATAGTCCCCGTTTTTTTTTTGAGAATGACACGCTTATAATTTATACTCACGCTGTGCTAATAATATTATATGGGTAAATATATTATTATATGGTACGCCTATATCAATCAATCCTCGAGCAGACCGTTTCCACGGCTGTAGCACGAATGCCCTTCGACAATATTATATTTTTAAATTTGCAGACGAAAAACATGCGTTTGTTGCACGGTTAGAATAAAATATAAATACTGAGCAGAGGTACTTACCTTTATAATGTTATGTTGATTTTAAATCCTATTAAAAAAAAAACTTATATATTATTATAAACACGTATTATTTTTCGATTTTGACGTGTGCGTGGGTGTGACCGCGGCCTCGGCGGCGGTGACCGAGGAAAGGGAGACACAAATCAGATTATCTTACAATCACCGGATCGCGCCTCTCCCAATCAATGTCAACAACGCGCGTCGCCGCCGATCGTGTGTTTTACACACGCACTCCGTACCTATTTACGAAGGAAAAAAAACAAACAAAAGAATACAAATCGAGTATACACTGACTAATATCTACAGCAAACTTGAAAAATTATTTTCCTCCCCCCCTCCCACCACCAATATATTATTATATTTGAGTTACATCACGTCAAAGATGCAATTTATTTTATTTTTACATTTAAATTACATTTATTTGCACAAACGATTTACCAAAATCCAGCAATTAACAAAATAGCGACAAATTATCCTGTAATTTATTGTAACTGCACATTTCAGCCCTTGAGCCCCCCTCTGGACTGTGTCTTTTACGTACTTTTTTGTTATAATATTGTGCTAAAAAAGGTATTTTAATTTTTGAAAATCTTTACAATAACGTTCAACACTTGAAAACATCAAACCAAATAGGTTGGTTGCAGACTCGTAGATACTAATAATACGATTTTAATTGGTTTATAACTGTAATATATGTTTTGTATAGGTAGTATTAACTCGATGTTAACTGATAAATTATAAGTAGTATAAAATAAAATTCGTAGTAGGTACCTATGTATAAACGATATACCATATACCGGGAAATCCATTTAACGTAAAACACTCATTATAATATTATTAAGCGTTTTGAAAATATATATTTTTACCATTATTTTTAAACTTTTTTAACTTTTATCAATGAAAATATGTATTTTAATTTCCTATTCCAAGGCAAAATATGTATGTACATATAATTTTGGTAGTAATAACTTAAGAGTTATATATATTTAATGTTTTGATTAGCGAAGTGGAGTGGTTATATACAGACTACAGAGGTATTCCGCAAAACGTTTGTCCACTACTCTGCTCATTTAAACTTTAAATACTTATAAAGTTATAACTAATAAGCTACTTGTCCAAAATTTGATATTTATATAGATCGAAATTTTCCGAATAATTCTTACTTCAGAATATGAAATTAAAATGTATTGTTGTCATTCAAAAGAGTAATAAACTTAAAAAAAATGTAAAAACTATAATTTTTTTCCAAAAATTGATTGTAGTAACCACCAATAATTAAAAAAAAAATAAATAGCTTTAAAAACATTAGCGTTTTCTTGAATAATGAGTGTCGTACTTTATAGATGGATTACCCGTAGTTGTGCACCTGTGCACGATAACAAATGGATGCACGATTGTACGAAGGTCCTTCTGACCAGTGACCATTGATATAGAATAGTGGAGTGGAGATACACTGAACGCCAATTAATCGCATTATAGAAAATCGATAAAACTCATGTGAAATTCACTTTCTGTCAAGTTTCTGGAATAAGAATAACTATCTTGAGAGTTTTAGATAATTTATTATTAGTACCTTATATCTTAGACCTTAGTACCTTATATACATTCTATATAGCTAATTAAACGTTTATACATAAGTAAATTGAATAATTTAAATAAAATAGGTAGGTACTTATATCGTATAATATGTAAGTATCATAAAAGTTGAACTTTTTTCAACTAATCTAACAAAAGATAAAAAACCATAGGTACTCAAAAATTAGTCTTTTAGCCACAAGTGATGGATACTTTCTAATTGTGAATAAAAAAAAACGCATTATAAGTCCTTTCAGTGTAAAACAATTTCCCATGTTTTTCAATAGACACCTATACCGAATTAAATTTACTGCATGTTTTGGTGTTTTTTCATGTGAAATTTAGAAACTGCCGTCTACATAATTGAATTATAAAATTATTTATTATTACGGACTAAAGAGTTGAAATGAGATTAAAAAAAGGCATTTTCGTCGATAAAATTATTAAACATTCGTGTTTATTCATTATTTTCTATAGTATGAGTAGTATGACATATTAAAATACAATCGTCTCCTCGTCTGTAAATAAGAGAACACAAATGTAATATATTAATATGCATTATCATCTGGTCAAAATCATTGAATCATGCTTGGAAAACAATTTCAGTTGTTATGTAATATTAGATTATACATTTATACACGCCATGGGATTTGAGGAATTAAAAAAAATAACTGTCCCGTTATAAAATTTGCTTAGGTAGTAGGTACCTGCAGTATTATACACAGACTGTATACAATAAATTTATATACATATTACATAGGTATGTATAACTATTTATTATTTAATATATTACATGTAGGTATAGACGTATAGTCAATGTTTTTTTGAGATATTGTGTATGGTGTTCAGTCTTTATAGTGTATTACATAATGTAGTACACACCAATACACCATGCACACTAAAAAAGTATATACATATAGTCATTATATTATGTCTAGTATTATTGCGTTAATAGTTTAATACGTGTAAGACGAGCAATTATACACATTTTACGAATTACCTAAAATTCGATGCGTATGCGCTTAAACTTCAATCATTTTAATATTAAAATCGTAAAATTACTACCTAGTATATTTCATAGCAGTTTAATCTACAATATGTAGAAAAATAACCCCCTTTTTAATTTAAAAAGTTATATATTTAATATGCCTATAACAATATTTTCCTCTTGTTAAAAATATGTTTAAATATTTGAATAATTTACCTACATTATACTTTGATAATTGATATATGTCATAAAATATTATATATAACCGTATACAAAATCCAGAACTAGCAAAATCTTCCGATTATATAATTAACCTCTATATAATCAATTTCGTGGTAATCCACCTCGCAGACTAAAAATCATCCGGATGTCTCATCTTAATTTAATATAATATAATTATGTAAATCGACTTCCGGAATTCCATCACATGGACTGTTTTTCCTCACTCTCGTGTAGAGCATAAATAAATTATTTTGCATCATACGCTGTTATTACGTACATTATACAGGCAGGTAGGCAGTCGAATCTCTATAAATCGAAACTTTCGGTCTGTAGTAGGTATAATATTTATTATTCGCGTATAATGTGGTACCTACTTATATTTTTCTCGAAAAAATAAAAAAATAAAAAAAACTACTAAATTACTAATTTCTTGGACCCTACAACTACAAACGACCGCGTGTAATGTGTAAATATTGTATATACCGATATAAAATAATATAATATTTAGGCCTACAAAAACGGACCGTCAAACGTGCAACGACGATAATAAAATAATAATATTATGCACACGGCGAGAGACGGGGACAGCGGCAGGCAAACAACCGCCACCGACACCGCTTTCCCGGCGACGAGAGGATAAGTGTATACTGTGTGTAGACCGCGGCACGCAGGACGGGCGGGAACGCATATTTTCCACGCCTCGGCGGCTCCCCGAACAAACAGTCAGCCCGCCTTAACGTCACGGTCGCCGCCGTCCGCGTACACCGCACGCAGCACCTCGTCTCTCGTCCCCGGGGCACGTTTAATGTTAGCACCGACGACGCAGTGTATAAGACTGTAATAATAATAATATGTACATCGTAACACTATATATTATTATAATATTGTTGTGCATGAGCGAAAAAACGGTTTTTCGAGACTTATATAATAGGTAATTATTATTATTTTTGTATTTTTAAAATAATACAATAGCTTATAATATGTTATCCACCGTTGAGTATCATCGTTCCTGCGTTTTACGATAATACAACACGTAGCTGCAGTAGTACGTATAGTTGTAGTACGCGCAGACCGTTTCTCAAATATATTATAATATACGGGGATGTATGATAAGGTAAAGGTATAGTATAATATTATATTGAATTCTTTACGAACATTTATTATATTTGTACGACTGTGTTCGCAGCGGAAATCGACTGAAAACAATAATATTATATTTTCACATAGCTGCACCGCACACACATAATACAATGTCGTACGCCAAAAACCGCGACAGATCAAAGAAATTATCGTCCGGTTTCGCACATATAACGTATTCGCCGCGGTGCACTTCATACAAATCTCCGCTCGTCAACGAACCGTCAATCGCGCCACATATTACACGAAACGGTGTCGGCAAATCCGTCTCATAAACGGCCGTTCACCCCCCATTACACGTATATTATTGTGATGTAAAGCGATTTTAATTGTCCGTTTCCCCCGATTTGTGGGAATTCGAAAATATTTTGACATTTCTACTTCCTGGAAGCGCTGTTGCAGTTGCGTCCGATTTCTCACACGCGTGTGTATACATAATATACGTCGTGTGTAAATACTGCTGCAGTAGCGGTGTACACAAACACACACACACGTCTATACGATCGGTCCACCAGACGCGAACATAATAATAAATATATAATAATATAATGTGTAAAGGAACAAAAAAAAAATAATAATAATAAATATTATCCCCGTTTCAAAATAATGTATAAATACGTATATATGTATACCTATATATATATATAGATGCGTGCTGCAGAGAGCAATTACAAATGTCTTTTATGCCGGTGAACTCCGGGAGTCATTTGTTCCACGGCGTGTCCATTGTTCGACTGTTATGTCGTTGATGATGGAGAGAGATAATGTCCCTTTTTCAATAGCGGGACTATTGTTTTTTTTTTTTTTACTCCTGTACAAAAATAAAAATAGGAAAAAATTCTCTTTTCTTTTTTCCATTTTTTTTTTTTTTTTTTTTGCAGTCGTTTCAGTGTTTTAATTTCCTACTGAGAAAGTATTATGCTGCGTACATTTTTCCCGTATCGTGAATTCAAATCCAATCAGATATATAACAATCCCTGCAGCCTATATATATCGCGACGAAGGCGAAGACATTCCTACTGTTTCGTCCCTTCGAGTCACTTCTGCAATGATTCAAATGCCAAAGATTATCCCCGAATCAACGTATATTTTTTAATTAGTAAAACAATAGACGGTGGCTCAATAGGATTGTGTGTTTTTCCAATGAAAGTTTTCATCATACGGCGTCAAACCAACTTATCATTATTAATAACACAACCTTTCGTTGAGTAAATATTATTTTTATTTTATATGTGTAAGTAAAAATGTTTAGCAGCATTGTAAAGATATCGGCACGATTAATGTAAAAGTTTAAGTGGTCTACTAACTATACACCTGCAATCTGCATACAACCACGCCGTCTAGAATCTAGATATTTGAAATGTACCTACACTAAAGCGTTAACCCTGAAACTGAAATTAATGTTCACTAATTATTGTTCTCACTAATTTCTGTTGGTTAAACATTAAACATATTATGTACTACTTAAAATATTTTAAAATAACATATCGAAATTTAATTCAAATCTAGTTTGTGATTTATTAATTTATTATATTTTGTTTATCAAAGAAACTTAAACTGGTATACGTTGCAGTGTATTATTACACAGCGAATACATTAATAGACGCGTGTACACGTGTACATTTGTAACATATTTGCATTATTTTATTTTTATTTCATACTATTATAATTATTTATGTATTATTGCTTTGTAGATTTTCTTACGTTTTAGGTTTTAATATATATTTTCATATTACCCCTTAATCCTTATTGTATCCGCAGTTGGTTTATTGCAAAATTCGTTACCAATACTAATATAACATGAATTCTTAGAATGTAAAAATATTAATTTACCCATAGCTCTATGTCCAATGTAGAGACTTATGGTAATCGATCGTTTTTATAAACATGCATTAAATAAGGGACACAAAATTAGTTAATTACCTAATTTTGAAATAAACAGAAACTAGCAGAAATGTGCACCTCCAATCTGGTCGTACCTATAAATTTATTGAGAGAAATATAATATGAGTAGGCTTACTTCTGGGTGGACTCTATCCTATTATACCACAGTCCACAAGTCTGACAAACTCTAACCAAAATCAATTATTATAATTTATAATTGATAACTTATATTCGAGTGTGTTTCACATTATTGTATAAGTTATTTCAAAAACAAAACACGCTTTTATATAGTATAATTTAAAATAGGGTGTTCTGTGTATAACAATGGATACGTGTTTCAAAGTTTACGCGACGGACGTATTAAAATATTTTATACACAAGTTCAAGGCGGGGGGTGTATGGAGGTTGTGAATGTTTATTATTATTTATATGTTTTAAGAAAAATCCACGTGATTGTTTTATATGTACCTATTACTGTCTGCATTCACCAGCGAGTGGTACAGTGTATGAGTGCTTTAGTGTAATACAAACAGTACCAGACTCGGAGGAAAAAGAAAAATCTATTTTATATAATATGGAGAAAGAGAGAGAGAGACGGAGCAGAGAGAGAAAATCAGAAACCCACGGTAGCGCGCCATGTACGGTGTATAAATATATAGTATGTATATCGTATATATATATATATGTGCTTGTGCAGATATAAAAACGGGAGGGAATGCGTAATCAAAGTGTGAAAAACCCCAAAGTTTTTCCGGCGTCAACGGCGACATTAGGCGACACCCTTCGGGACAGCTTGTGTATATATATATACGGGGGTGTTGTACGTGCAAGTCGGAGAGAAAGAGAGAGAGAAAGCCGACAAACAAAACTCATGCATTATGGATTCGTCGGCCGCGCGACACATCAAGACTCGCGCAAAACCCTTCGACTCGAATTCGCCGCCGTGATACGCAGCATTTCTCCCACACAAACACACACGCTCACTCACACAAGCAGGCTGTATGTATCGTGTCGATATATATATAACGACGTGGCTCGGTGCTACCGATTTATAATATATATATGCGTGTGTGTGCGTGAGTGTACTCGCCCTGCCACTTTTGTACGGACCCTGCGCCGTATAAATCGTCTGGGTAGAAATGAAGAAAAAATATAACCGCGACGACAATACAATCGACGACTGCGGAAATGTATTCCGGTCGGAAATTCGTGGTTATATACTTCTCCACGACCGGCACAAAGGACCTCCTCCGCCGCCGCCACGTGGAGAAAAAACCGAGTATACTATATATATATATATATAGATACAGAGGAATAAAAAATTGGATTTATGGCTGAATGTAGTATATTTTTTATATATTAATATATTATATTATATATATATGTGTGTACACGGCGGCAATGACGACGGCGGTCTGTCTCCGGGTCTCGGGATCTCTCGCGCGCGCGCTTTACAATGGCGACGCCAGTCTGAGCGCATTAAATTGATTGGAAATTATTTTTTGACAATTTTCGAAATCATTATCGTTCGCCCACTCATCTGCAGCAGCTAAGATAGCCACGCTACAGACACACCGCTGTTCGAATTTCGCACACTTTACAGAGTATTTGACGTGTATGTCGCGCGTGTCGCTTTGAATTGCCAGAAAAAAATAACAATAATTCACCATTCACATCCCTCGTATATACATGACATAATATTATATACACGGAAGCGTATATAATATATATATACCAATAAAACTGGCTACCACCAAATAGGCATTTAAACTTTGCACTACATTATTGGTTGAGACTAAATTCGATTTTAGTTTTATTATATATATAGGTAATCCTCATTCCTCGTCAGTCATATATCAACGCCTCGAATATGAATTAACAGCTTAATCCATTGATAAACGGAAATGTGCATATTATTGAACGTATCAAAGTAATATCAAATATTAATCTTCCTTCTTATTATAGCAATATAGCTACATATTTTAATAATACTATAATACTATAGGTATGTCTATATATTACATGCGTGAAACTAAATTTTAGGTATACTTAAAATATGTTATAAGCGTTATTGACGTCTAAAAAATCAACAGTGCAGGTTCGTGAGAGGTGAGCGAGTTCTATAGGTTTAAGGTTCGTCGTTACTTCGTGTGAGGTTTTTTCATGAAACACGTGGAATCACTGCAGGCAATTAATGATATAATTAATAAACGGCCACTCAAATTTTGATTTACTGATGTAAAGGGCGCATAACGCACGAGACGAAACAAATTAATTTATACCTAATGTGATCCCCCGCTTATTATTTCGTAACGACAATTTGCAGGATACGCCTACACAGCACACGTTATTACCTAATATATATGACAGTGATATAAAAACATTATGAATAATTATCACGATATTTATTAATCTGTACACAGGTGTCTTCGATCAACCGCGTGTTACGCAATTTGGCGGCTCAAAAGGACCAGCAAGCACCGGCGTCCGTGTCGCCGACTTGCAACAGCACGGACGCCGTGTACGACAAGCTGAGACTGTTGAACGGTCAGGCGGCGGCGGCCGGCACATGGCCCAGACCCAATCCTTGGTGAGTATTATAATAATAATAATGTGTGTATAATATTATATTATATATATACCACTATATATATATGTATAGGCGATGGCGCGGATGACCGCACACGCGTATACGCGTCATCAATAATAATAATAATGTACCTTATACTGACGCGCACTGACGTTATTTGTTTTGTCTTTTATTATAATTTATATAGGTACCCACCAGCATCTGGCGATAACCCGTTCGGTCCGCTACAACCGACCGGCAGGCTGAGTCCGAACGCCGCCAATTGTACCGTCTTGCCCGACATACTCGACAAAAAAGGTAAGACGTCAACGATATTTATATGATGCATACATATTATAGTAGCATTAAGCTGTTGTGCTTTAATTAGTTTTCTTTCATGAGTGCTTTTACTTAAATAAAGTTTTTACGCGTCTAGACAAGCCGACAATAGGATTTTCATAAAAATATTATTATATTTATAAATGTATAGCAATATAATATAATATAGCATTGCATATAATAATATATTTATAATGGTTATCCTGTGCAGTCTGGGATTACAACACTGTCGTATTAACATATTATACATACAGAATATGCTGCATCTGCAAGATATAATATAATACTGCCACTATTTTACTTAATAAATAATAATGACGTATTAAGCAAATAAAATAATGATTATATTTTGCGTAACCTAACATTATGATGGTATATAAGTATATAACTACATAAGTATATTAACTATATTACACCTACATTGTGTACCTATTATTAATAGGACAATATATATAATATATAATTACTGTTGAAACATTAAAATTACTTCTTTAAATTAAATTAAATTATTTTTTTTCCTTAATTATCGAATACATAAATTCACTTTAAACTGCAATTTTTCATCCATCATTTGAAGTTAAAGAAAAGCATTACCGTAGTGGCGTAGTAGGCTATATAAATTATTCCATTATTTGAAATATAATTGCGAGTATCCCTTTATTTTAGATATAACTTATTAAACAATCGTATTTCAAAAAGCAGATATTATTTGTCATTTACTTTCTAAATTGAGCAAACCGTTTGTGATTTATATCTTTGTCTGAAATTGTATTCAAGATTCAAGACTCAGTTTTCAAATAATGATGTCATAAAAGTAATTAACTGCAAAAAACTAAATAATAATTATAAGACATTTCGTAAAAAATCTAACAAAAACAATCCAATAAACGTTAATTTATTCCACCTATATACGGCAATATTATAGACGTATATTACGTACATGATCCATAGTACCCACTACCTATACATATAATATTATATACTATGTTCTTACAATCGCAACGTCTGTTAATTAAACCGCAGCGACCAGTCCACGAGATCCTATATAATATTACAACACCATATGCCATGTGCCATATTGATAAAATGATCTTAAATAATTGTTGGCATAGAACAGGCCAAAAGGTACCTAAATATTATACGTGCCTATGGCTAATGCGCGGTATAATATTATATATATTAAACAAGAATCTTCATTTCACCATATCCTGTGGGCGGAGTCACAGCGATGATAATATTGGGGTTATACAAGGGGGCTACTGACGCCGCCGTGCCTTTCTATGTACGTAAAATTCCCCAGTCGGTATTTATTTATTTATTTTTTTTATTCTACTCAACTCGCGCGCGCTTACATGGTATATGATGCGCACGCGGACGCGGTTTGTTTGGATATATTAAAAAAAAAAATAAAATAAATAAAAAACCTATACCGGCTCCACGGTGAAACAAGAAAATATTGTATCAAAGCGAAAACGGAACTGATGTGGACGGGCAGAGGGGTTATTATATTTGGATAAAGGGATCGCCGGCGGACGGGTGTGCGGCAGTATTACCGCAAAAAGGGTTTTCGGGCTCCTCCAAACGGTAACCATATTAAATTTTGCTATAGCACGGAATTCCGGTTTCAGCGTCGAAACAATATGCGTACATATATATACGCTGCAAATAAACGGCGGAATGCCAGCAGCCGGGCGGCCATTGCGCACCACGGCAGCGGTGGCGCCCCGAAATTTTAGGCGTATATATTATATACATGGTATAAGAGAGATAATATTACAAGCTCGAAAATATAATATCTTGCCACGTGTACGAGATACATATTATATTATTTTATTATAGTATGTGAAATGTGCATATTATATATTAATATATATTTAATACCGTGTATTATTACTACTCTATATTTTTTCTGCCGGAAACGTTTTGAATAATGCCTGCAAACATTACAAATTATTATATTAAACGTTTAAAACTTTTCCGTATCTTTGATGCGTGTAATAAGTATATGTTAACATAATATATTATTTTGTATAGACGAACACATGAATACGAAAATAAAACATTATGCTTTATAGGTAGTACATAGTTTATTTCTATTGAAACATACACACAATAATATACTACGATTACGAAAGCCCTTGTAAGTTGCAATGTACTTAATGTACTTTCACATAGCCAGACAAAAAACAAATCTATCTAGTATATTATATATACAGTTATTAATTATTATATTATGTATTATTTAAATTGTACATACATATTGGCATGCAATTTAGATTTGCTCCCTCTAAACTCAAAAATAGTGATACACTTACATTTAAACTATTAATTAATTGATAATGTGACTGATACTATCGCGTTGGAAAAAATATTAGGTGGAGTCAGGTTTAGGGCATGTAAAGCACCCTTAACTACGTCAAGTTACTGAGGCATCGCATGAAATAGGTATAAATGTATATCTTGTTATACCATACAATATTATGAACATATACGCGATAAACTTATTGTTAGGTACAAAATACAAATATAAATACTTCAAAACTAGCGAAGCGCAATAGTATAGTAGCCAGTAGGTAGGTAATATTTTAAAAAGGAAAAAAATGTTTGAAAAGTTGTTATATCAACTATAGGCCGGTCGGGAGCTGAAAGAATCCTTATAAAGTATATTATACATTATAAATAGGTATATTTACATAACATATAGGTATATACCAATATATAGGTGCAAGGTGGGTATACCTATACTACCTACACATAACAGAATATACCTATACTGGTTATTGTATAGCCACGTATGGGCTTATATCAAGTATAGGTATAAGGTATATGTTGTGGCATAATATATGTATATATTATACGTATTTTACACTGTGTAGGTAACTACACTAAGGTGCTCTGCGGCACAGGCGATTTTGATTGCGCGTGATGTATCTTATTTTTCTCGTTGTTCGCGGCAGTAAATAACACGCGGATGCATATAAAGACCGGGTGCTCACGTCCGTGCACATATACATTATATCGAATAATATATTATGAATATAACGTATATTATGTACATAATATAGCCACCGTGTTATATTATATTAATATGCGGACCCCGCGCGCGGTATTGAATTGACGACGCGGTCTATCCTTCTCTCCCTCCATATACCTCCGACACTCTCACTCTGGCATATGCACTTATGTATTTTCAAAAACCCACCGACGTCCATTTAGCCGTAAATAATTTGCTTTGAGCCCTTCGCATGACGTGCGTGTGCCGCGCGCAGCTGAACGAATGACGTGTTATCATCGCGGTCCTTCGTCGGTTTCACGCACCTCCTTTCTTGTATGTACTTATTATATTATATATTATAAAAAAGAAAAAAAACGTAACGAATGTCATTTGTATTATTAGGCATTATATACTTGATAAAAAAAAAAAATCAAAACCTTAAAATACGCGAATGTAAAAACGCACGTGAGCTATAACGCTGCTGCATGACGTTGGTGTACCTATAATGTAACCTGCATAATATATAAATCTTCGTTTTACCCAAAAATCATATTGAATTAATATTATAAAGGGGATCCGTGCTACGCTATAGGATTTCGATACGGTTTGTATTTCAAAAGGTATATAAATACACGTGTAAACGTGTTATGAGATACACTAATACCGGTATTTAGTAATTGTGGTATTTAATTAAATCCTGCACGGGGATTACTATTACTGCAAAGTTTGAAAATGCGATCATGCTTAACGCATTGAACCGTTATCACTCGTAATTTTTTGTGTTTGGTTCGGAATTTAGTATATAATAGCTTTCAGTGCTTCTCCGTCAAGTCTTTCATACTCATATACACATTGATATTATCCTAAACTTTTATAGAATGGGTATAGACATTTATTAAAATGTTTTTAAATTATATTATTGTCTCAAGATTTTACTATTCCAAACTTAGGTCACGGGCGTATAATTATATGATACTAAATAGTAAATATACATTAAAGATTAAACACTTATAGGTACATGGTTGTGAATTATATATTTTTATACACTAAAAAACTGTTAAATACCCATACGTTTGTTCATTCATAGTTAACGAAATTATGTTATAATAATTTCAATATTTGCAAAAAAAAAAATACTTTACAATTCTTAACATTTTAATAGATATATATTTTTAATTTCAAATTATAATGTACGTAATATATACAAATAAAAATAATATTAAAAATAAATCTTATTAATTTTGTTTAAATATTTTATTATTTAAATTATTGTTTTGTGTTGAAAGATAACAATAAAAATCATCACGCAATATTTTTTATTGGAATTTGTATTCATATTTAAGTGCTATTAACAACTACAATAAAAAATGAAATGTAAATTATTATTGAATTCAACGCCAATAACAATAACGAAACCCGCTAGCTAATTATTAAATTACCTAAGAAAATCCATAAATAAACTATAGGAACAAGTAAATTTCGATTAAATAATAATATTTTAAGAATATACCATTACTATATGCACTATGTTCAAAGCCGCAAATATGCAAAACAAAAAATGCATATGTTGAAATCTCTAATGTAATAATATGTAAATAATTATAATCGAGTTTAACATTAGTTTCTATGATTTATACACAGTATATTATATGATATTTACCTAAAGTACCAAAAAATACAACATGGGAATTCACTAATTAAAGTAAATTATTATAAAAAATAAATTTTATAAACATGTAGGCATATAATACTATAATACTAAAATTCAACATTTCAAATCCTTCATATAACGTGGTATATTAAAAAGGGTTTGTTACTTCAGCAAATCAGTAGTCTGTTAAAGTTTATAAAGCGTGTTTATGAACCAAGGAATTACTGTTCTTAGCATTTACTTGAGATTTTATAGCTGAAGAGATAATTGTGTTCTGACGTGTTTATACGCAAACTTTAATAATATCAACAACAGCTCATGTTTTTAATAACG